ACAGAACTGCAGCTAACAGGTACCGTATATGAAAACCATAGTTGAAGAAATTTTAAATCAATAAAAAAACGGCTTACTTCATGGTGGCCATCAACTATCCACATTGGTATCTGTTTGTAATGTTTTAACCCACGCGTTGCCATAGCAAATCACGTAGCAAATACGAAGCCGGCCTGTTTGCGACTTCTGGTTCAAAACAAATGTAGTTCAGAGGTCAAAACCCAAAGGTCGACAATTTCGTAAGCAAACAAAGCACGTGTAAATACTGTACGTTTTGTTAAATGTAACAAAGGAGCGGGTAAAGATTTGTTAAATCCATTTGCTGGTACACGCATAGTTTCGATTTGAATCTGGTTTGAACGACTAATACCCGTGCTCGTCATTTCTACCCAACGCACGTTTCTTTGACTTGTCATTTCATCGTTTTGATCCCCTAACTGACCCATTTAACGGACAGACTTCAAAACTCGTTCACATGTCATTCATTATAGGTGCACTTCATTCAAATTTAGATCACCTAGATATAAATATTTACGAATAATGATAAAATAAATATATTTTATATACGTATTTTATTCACTATCGCTGTCAAAATGTTAATTTATCATTATTTTAATTGACTAGGGGGCCTAGGAAGGGGGTATTTTCCAAGATGGCGAATAACCAGCAGCAGCATGTGTCTTGCGGACGGGATTTACACTGTGTTCCTGACATTTCGGACTCCACACAACTCGCTTCTGTTGCTGGGTATGTATCATCACATCTATATTAAAGTTAATAATTGTCTACAGTTATGTTGTAAATAAAATGTGTATGTGCTGGGAAAATCATAGGCGTATCGTATCGTACGAGTAATACAAGACTTGCACTCGGGCGGGTGCTTTAATACTTAGAATATAGTAGTAGTAGTAATGTCGTAATGCATGTGCCAAGTTTAACTTGTAATGTGATTTTGTCAAAAACTATTAAATATAGAATTTTTTCCCCCGCAAAATATTCAACTAGGAAAAAAAACGTTTTAACATTATTTTTGAATAAAAAACCCTGCAAAAATTGTTAAAACAGTGTATTTATAATTAACCCTTCGTCCATGACTGTTTTCGGACTAATATGTACTTGACGGCACTCTAAAACTGCTTTGTGAATGGTCATTAAAGTTATATTTTTGGCAAAATTTAATTCAATTTTGAATAACTTAGCCAAAAATTTGAGAGTAACAGAAAGTTTTGAGCAGTTAAGTTCCAGTTTTCGAAAACATTTTCACATAGAAAAATAGTGTGGTTTCTATAACCCGACCTAATCTATTTTTACTGCCTGGCCCTAAATTCAAAAAAAACAAAAAAAAAAACAATTTTAAACACGAGTTATAAATCTCCTGTTTGCAAAAGAGTCCTCTTATGTAAGAAAAATATCTAGAAGAATAAAAAAAAAACCCTACCTTTGCCTATTCTCTATTTTTGAAAAGTATGTTATACAAGTATGAACCATACATTTTTTTTTTATTTGGCCTTAGGTCATTATTTTCTTCACAGTAGGCATTCTCGTCAGAGTCTGAAATTTATTTGTGAGGAATAATTGACAATTCAGTGGTATTGTGGATGCAGTATCTTGTACTTTGCCAATTTATCTGAATGGACAGAGTAAATAAAATTACAAAATATTAAATTTGTTGATTTATTTTTACCAGATTTGACTTTGTAGCAGTTCCTATTGTACATCCACGGTTCAAGCGAGAGTTTTTGTCAGGAGCACCGAAGGACAGACCAGGTGCATTCACTAGATCAGATTTACTTCTCTCAAGTCATGGTAAGTGACAACAAGGTGTATGTCAGTCAGTAAGATAAGTTGGAAGAAGATAACATTATAATAAGTTAATTTTGACCACCTCTTCCAGTCAGGCAGATTTATGCCAGGTATGGTCTATCCTAGTGGGTGGGTTAATATAGAATTTTTGAGACCAAGCTTGTTTGTTTTGATTTAAAAGAAAAAAGAAATCTGCACAGAGAATATTTTGAAAAAAAATGAAAAGTTCTACGGGCTAAATTACAGGAAAAAAATGTATTTATTAAAAAAATCAAACAAAGCAAATGAATTTGTTATGGATACCGTGATCCACCCTTACTTGTCAATGCAGAGTCAAAAAAAGGAAATGCAAAAAAATTGCTTTTACAGTTTTGTTTGTAATTTAAATATGATGATCCAAGAATCAAATTAACTATGTGTCTGAATTGTAGGAAATTGCATCTTGATAATGATTGTGATTAGAATAGATACTTTCATTATCCAAACCTTCTTACTACAGACTGGAGCTCCCTTGTTGTTGGAAAAACATCACCGTGGCTGCAGTTAGATTCCAAAGATGAAATTGTTAGAAAGAATTCCGAGTTGGCGTTGAAACAGGAATTGTCTTATGCTGGTCATTTAAGCATGCCAGCAGTATTAGTATCATTAACCAGCAAGAAGTGTATTAATCTTGGTCGCGTTCTTCTTAGTCATATGTTAGGAGGTTACAACCAGCAGGTAAGACAATTTAAATTCATGTCAAATTTTTGCCTAGAGTCATTAAAGCGAACCTAAATGCGGCCTTAATTTATAGTTGTGTATATTCTAAACTGTATTCGAAATAATATTGCAGTGGTTTAATTTTGTTTTAATTATAACTGTAGCTTGGATAGGCATTTGAAGTGCTTGCCATGGAGGCCATTCATCGAGGGGAATAATTAACGAACGAACGAACATATTTAACATCCGGGTACTTTTCAAAGCTATGACGTTTT